CATGCAAACCACGAGATACCACAGATGCACTTCTTTGCCTCCATTAGATCTTTACCTCCGAGTTTTTCACTGGCCAAAGTTCGTTCTTTGAGGGTTTTGCGGAAATTTAACAAGCTTACCTTCTTTTCTATGCTTGCCTTTAACCCCGATGGCTTCTTCTCTTGCCTTGTCATACATTCATAACACTGTTGTGCTATCCGAGCTGCCTTGTAATATCGGTCAATGACTTGTGGGATTCTGTGTGGCATATTCACCCGCCGCTTGGTTTACTGCTCCAAGTATCAGCGGGTTCACGCTCTCCGATGTTTTTTTCTGCGTCCACTTTGTCTGGTTTACCTCATGTCCCTGTGCCTCTTGCATCAGCACTAGATATTTTTCCTTCACATCTAGATAAACCTTAGAGTCATGTAGTGTGTTTTCCTCGAAGGGCGTATTTTATGAATTGACACGTTTCGTCGACTCCTCGAAGAACCGTTTCTGTGAGCACAGACAACCTGCAATATTGTTGATCAAAGAATCCGATTGCTTCTTCAGTTCTTAACACACGAAAACTTCTCGCTATACAGAGAACGACACAGTGGTCATCCCCATCTCGGCATTCTTCCAAATTGGTCAACGACCGTTTTCAGCATCTCTCCTAGCATCTCGGTTCGTGGGGTTTCGATTCCACGGACGATTGCTTCAAGCTGATCATTCTGCTGACACTGGGTTCTGGTAAGCTGATAGAATGCTCTCCTACATCTTTCACGAAGCTTTTCACAACCTCATCTGCTTTCCCATTGTTTTCTATTATAATTGCAGATGCGATTTTTTACCTTTCATCCTCCATTTTCTTTTCGGACTTTTTATACCTTTACTGACGACCACAGAGCATTCTTCTTTTTGGTTTCAACTCTTTTTGCTAGTCTTTTCTTCCGCTTTAATCATTCCATGCTTGTCATTCTTCATCCCTTGTTTCGTCTTCGTTTCTTTAACAGTACTGCAACAAGGAGTTTCATGAGCATTATCGTTATGTTTATAACTTCTTTTAGCGTCTTGGAAGTCGCCTGTGATGTGGAAGGTCCTTCAGAAACTCGTTTCCAGCCATTAGATAACTGATCTACTTACTTGAAGGCTGGAATTTTCTCTCGTACTGAAGGACTTTCCACATCATCAAAGGGTATCGGCAGTCAACGACGCCAGAACGGTGGATACACCGTTTATATATATATATGACGACTTATCAGTATTGATAATGACTGACTTGACAAATCAATAAGCTATGTCAATGAAAAAAATCATAGACAAGTACAAAAGTATCGGAAACAAGATTATTGTATACACAATTCTCTAAATTTTTTTATTTGAAAGGGTTATATAATTTTTATATTTTTTTAATTATGTGAAATAATTCTGAATATTATCATAAAGCGAATTTGTATTATGTTTTTAAATAACATAATATTTCGAGGTATTTAACTTGTTTTTCGAACTCTCTGAAGAATAATTCGAACAAATGATGAACAATAAAGGCAAAATCTGACTTTGTTCTTAATTTATCGTTCATAATTGAGGTGTTTGCCAAGCAAAATGAAATGGGAACGGATTAGTCAAGACGTGCTTTTTCACAATTTGATCCTAATTTTTATATTTATCTTCTTTACTTTTTTCAAAAAGGATCAAATTTTGCTGGTCGCTGTGAGTAACGCTTCTATATCTATGTGCAAAGCAAAACGCACTTGAAGTTGAATCCTGTGTGGATGAATTATTTTGCAGATCACTGGAATTTGAACCACAAATGATTTTCCAACAAAGTGTAGTACCAAATGGTGGCATTCGCCCACCGCATTACACAAAGCATCAAGAACAATATGAGAAGAAAACAATGGCTGAAAGCATGCCTGAATTAGGAGGAGCAAGAAATTTATCATCACCTCAATTTCCTGGACAAAGAGTGAGGAGGAAGAGTGAAACATGCGTTTGAATCATGTCTTTCTCTCAGTTATTATTTAGTTTGGTCACAAATGATAAGCCTTTTTATTTTAAATTAAAAGTTCATGAAAAGCACTGTTGTTCGTTTTTTTCTTGGAAAATTGGTCAGTCATGTATGAAATCTCTTTGTCACGTTGTTTTCTGCAATTCCTTCAGCAGACATTCTTGCTTGTTTATCTTGTGCACAAGTGATGAAAAATAAGCTGCGAAAAGTTAGCTGGAAAGATCGCTGAACAGACTGTTAACTCACAATGTTCAGTGTTTTATTCCGAGTCATATGGTTTCTGTTTATGTCAAAATCCATATCACAATTATAGCTTGCTCAGAAAATATTTTAAAATTTTTGGACAATAGTACTTAACTTTTCGCATTAATTTTCATTCTCAAATTCCATCAACTAGTATTATATTAGTACTGAATGCTGCGTAGTGCTATTCTCAAAGAAAGGACGAACGAGAAATGTTAATTTTTACACAAATTAAATGTTTGTTTTTTTCATCAAAACATAGAAAAGAAGCGCTTATAATCTACTTTAAATTGTTGTGCATCAATTTTTCATGAAGCATCTTTGAATTCATAAATATATAGTGAAGGCTGAAAGAAAAAATGATTTATCACTTTCAGTTTCTTGCAACTAGATCTTAAGGAGTTGAACAGTGGATTTTCACTGGATTCTGTATTGTTTTAGTACCAAAAAAATAAATATGAATTATAAAAAATGGTATTTCATCTTTTAAAATAGATGTCATGGAATTCAGTTCACTAAATGATTTTGAAAAATTACATTCAATGTTGGATTTTTTAAGTACGTCTTTGTTGTCAGTTTCTTAATTTGTCTTATTATTTTCAACAACTAAAGTAGTCGTTATCACGGAGATAGCAATATTTGTGCTGTAATTTTGTTACCTCGTGTTGCATTAATTTTTCTTGTATTCATCAATAGCTTTATCTGTAGTTTCTTTCAGCTTGTTTTCTACATTAACTGTGCTTTATGTATAATTTCACAGTTTTTGTACTAACTCCTTTTCTTGGTCTTTTTCTACTTTAAGCATTTTTTTCATTTAATTTCTTACGTCACTTTATAAAATTACATTATCTGAGGAGATAGTCGTTTTGGTGCAATCCTCAATATGTCATGTCGATATTCGCTGTAAGATAGCAATGTTTATGTGACCAAATTGTCTAACCATACTTTTAGTTGAACTGATAAAGAAGTGAGTTTAAAATCTTTTGGTAATTGCTTTAATTAAATATGTAGTTAAACATCTTCAGTATTTTATCCACCAATAATTTGAAAAAGTAATTTTTTGGTGAAATCAAGCCTTGTTCACTGCTAACCATACAGGTGTGCTTTTTAATGCTAAATATCTCCTTCAATGCCTTACTATATTCATTTGTATTGTTATGCTAATATGTGCTTGTTAATTTATAATTGTGTAAAAATGCAGAAGATCCCAATGATCATTTCTGGTCAGTAATTTTCTCTTTATTAATTCACGACTATCAATAAAAATTTTTTTATCGAAGTTATATGATGATAAATGCGCATTTTAAATGCTGCTTGCGGTTACCTAAATCATTTATTTATTCCTACACTGCTTTATCTTATTTGTATAAATGTTCCAACCAGTTTTTTAAATGGAAATTTTTTTTTGAATTAAAAAAAATGTACAGTTGTTTGCTTGATATGAGATATAAGAAATTGACTTCAAGTTAGACATATTTGAAAACATCAAAAATGCGTGTATATATGAAATCACTAAAATATCTCCATTAGTAAGTACTTCTTTTCTAGCATATTATTTATTCTAAAGGTGAAAATTAATATATAATGCATATATAATATTATAAATGACCTCTATGTATTTCGGTTCGACTTTTATGCGTTGGAAAAGCATATATTTTCATAATCTACAGGATTTCGATCAGATCATCCACATTTCGAGATCTGTGATGTGTTTTTGATTTTCAGTAAGTTCTAATCAACTTATAGGTAGTTTTTTGGTAGGATAATATTTTTGCAAATATTTTGTTAAAAACTTGTGGTATTTGTTTTTATGAGATTTTTTAATTCATCATTGAAAGATTTACACTTTTCTATAGTATTACGTGTAGTAGTAGGTCATGAACTCAGGGACAAGCAGCGAGCACCAGAGTGTTTGCGATTGATCTATGAATTTTTTTAATACAAAAAAGTTTTATTTCTTTTTATGTCTTTAGAAATTTAAAATGGCTATTAAATTCCGTGATAATGTGAATGACCTTTCAACTGGAATGAATTAAATCAATTCTTGAGACATAATAAACTTCTAATGAAGCTGTCAGTCACAGCAGTTCTCCGTAATTTTTCACAGCGGTGTACAGCAGAGTGCAAATTTTTCAGAATTTGGTCTCCGAACTTTTTACTTGAAAGAGTTTGTACTTACATCAATAAATGATCTAGGTAATAATGTCATAAGTCTATTCATTAATTTGTAAATCCAGAAAAAGATAATAAAATCGTAGTAATTTGTTGTTAACCTGATTTGAAGTGTTCGTTTTCTGGATTATTCAATGCCTATATGTAACCAGGTAGATTATTCACTGGCAGGTGTGTAATTTAATTCTCTCTGGCCAGTTATGCTCGTTCAGTCACTTAGTCAATTTACATAAACATTACAGACTATTAATTTACACTATTGATTTTTGTGGTAATGTGTATTGGAAGTAATTCGTTCGCGTGACAATGATAAAAAGATTAGAACAATGCTAGTAATTGATTCAAAATCAACACATTGTGGTAGTATTTCTCAAGCCTTCATTTTAACTTTTTATGTCGAAAAGACGGGTGCATATATGCATAACAAGTAATGAAATAAATGTACAGACGTTGTTTAAAATCCACTTTAAAACACTGGCAGACAGAGAGGTAGAAGCCAAAAGCGTTCGTTATTATGTCCATCGATCTATATTTCAATTGTTGCAGTGAGAACTAGTTTGGCTTGTAGATTAGTTTCTGTTGAGAGCGCCAGCGATTGCTTGGCTGCAAATATTATAACGGAAGAAAGACTTTTATGTAGCTTTAAAATCGGAAGAACAGGTTTATTTGTCATCAGTTTTCTATCCTTGTACATCTGATTGCACTATTTAAGTCTTATTACTAGAATGTTCCATTAGCATTCCTGAGGACGCTTCCAATACAGACCAACTATTTGAATGTCATGTGCCTCAAGAGGTGATTAACACTTATTCTTATTCTCCATTTTTGTTAACTTTGTTAACCTAATAATTGAATGCGTTTAGTTCGTAATAGATGAAAAATTAAATTCTACTCTTTCTTAGTTGTTTCAGGAGCTATGTCCAAAGAACCGCTTATCCTTTGCGGGTTTTAGACAGAAATCTTCAAGTACTTAATTTCATATATATAATATCGTTGTAATTAATTACTGAAAGCAAAAGTAAACACTGATGAAGAAAATTTCGACAGTCATTGCAGTTTTTATTGAGATTTGAAATCATTGAGAACTTTTATTTTTTAGTGAAAATTTTAGACTAGTTTTCATTCTACTAATGATTCACATCTCGCATTATGACCAGTTCCGACGTAATAAGTCGTTAACTAGCACTGCCTAGTTCATCTAGAAAAACACCTTTTATATGAAGGTGTTTTTCTAGATGAAACCTTTTATATGAAGGTGTTTTTCTAGATGAACTTATAGTGCTAGCTTACAACTAACTTATTTTCGGGCAAGAATTAGATTCTTCATTAGAAAGTTTTTTAACTACCTCAAAACATTTTACAATGACATCATTTTAAACTCAAAATGCGTTTAAAATGATGCAATTATTATAGACATTTTTTTCTTGTAAAATGTGAAGTACAGAACAATAATGTGAGGTTCTGCAATCTTTCTGCTGGGAATAACACAGATCATTAAAACTTCTGCATGGAATAAGACGAAAATCGGATAAAGTCTTACTTCATAAATATTCGAAAAAATTAATAAGGAAAGCTTTAATGATTTCATGTTAGGACATGAAAAAATTAAATGTATTATGTGGAGATTATCTGTATACTGTGTACTTATATGAAATTCAGTAGCATTATTGGTATTGAAGTTTTAAAATTTCTTGTCATTTCCTTTTCGATAATTATCATTTATCTTCCTAAATGTGGTTGAGCATATGATAATCATATATATAACATGGTACCAGCTTCAATATTACAGTTTTTTGCATTTCTAGGCAATCAGAATTGCGTGGTTTATATTTTCGACAGACAGATGCAAACTTCGGAATGAATAATTTAGCAGTGAAAAAACGTCCAAGAAACAATCAATGGATCCTGATGACGAAGGACCAAGCAAGTGTAGTCGTAAAACAGCTTTATCTCTGTTTCTTTTCCTTGAATTGACAGCATATTTATTTAGCTGTATTGCTCTTATAAGTCCAAGTTGGCAGTACGTATATCTCGAAGTATGTCATCATTGTTTCCTTCATTATATCTCTCCATTATTACATCTAAAAACTAACGTATGGTGTAATTAAATTATTTTCCGAAAAATAATTATTACCTTTTGTTTATTTTAATAAATTCAACTGAATTCTTCGTGGTTAATTTATAAAAAACAATAGATTTTAATTTTTTCGGCTGAAAAATTTTTCAGAATGGACGTACAGAGCATCACCATGGATTATGGCTCGATTGTAAGCGTGATTATTCTCATGATTATGGTCGTAGTCGCGAATATTATGAAACTCTGTACAGGTCAACTTATTAATTTATATATTATTATTTAACGCAAACGAGTTAACAAATAGAATTATAACTTTTTAAAAGCATTTGTAAAAACGCACTTTGCATTTAGAGTTACGACTATATTAGATCTGATATTAGGTCCCTTAAATTGTCGTTCAAATTCTGCTCCATAAAAATATCTTTCTGACAAATTTTTCCTTTTTTTGTAGTTAATGTCAGTTGTAAACATTACGCAAATTGCAGACTTGATAAGCAACAGTCACCGTTTGACCAATTTTTCCTCACATCATTATTATGTGTTTACAAATTTGATTATTATATTGATGCAGAAGATCTTTACGATCATAATCATGATGAAAATCGCCTTCAGGATGATGCTTATCAACATCTGTTTTTAGGTCTGTCACAAATTTTTATTTATCTTCGCCTTTTAGCAAGTATAATTCACTTTACAATATCTATAATCTGCATTTCAAACTTTTAATGTCTAATTTTTGATGTGGGACTTACTCCTATAACTTTTTCATATGTTGCAAAGTTATTTCTTAAAGGTCATAGCTAGAGTCACCTTTTCTCATACTGATTTAAGGGTGGAAGATTGCTTCATTGGCTGCCCTTGGATTTGCTGTTCTCACTGCTGGAGCTGCACTTTTGTTATCCATCTGCGCTTTCTGTCACCGTACTCTAATTTGCGCTGCTGCTGTTCTTGTCACTGTTTCTGGTTCATTTTAAATGCTTTATGTTTTTATTCCTTCACATTAATTTGATGTTACATCATACTCAACAATATTTCGTCCCAGACTCAGTATTTTCTTTTAAGTGAATTAGAAAAAGATTGAAATAAAGATCAGTAGTGAAGCTGATGTCTAGTTTTCTGTTAATAATAATTGCAGTAATTGTATTATTGTTGCAGCGTTACTCTCATCAGTGGGCTTGCTAATATTTTATATTTGGGCTAGTTATCAGGACAATAGCATTCTCAAAGAAGATGATGGAATTTACCAGGTCACGTTCACTTTAACTTATGCTTTTATTCCATTTCCTTTCTTCATGTCAGAACACGTCAGCGTATAAAAAACATTGCTGTCTATTAAGTTTCTCTGCAGAGAAAAATCTTCTTTTCTCTTGAGAGTGACCGTTTACTACTTTAAGTCACAATTTTGCATTTTGTGCTTGACAATGATAATAAATTAGTCCCTCACAAAAAGTTTAACATAACTGTAATGACATTTGACTGATGTCTTAATATAGTAGTTAAGGTTTGAAGATAATATTTAAATATATAGCGCAAGTTGCATAAAATGTTAATTCCTCAGACTATTTGTTCATCTTTGTTCACACTTGCTCTGTAGTCATTTATTTATAAGACAGCTGTGAATTAAGATAATTATTTGCTCAGCAAAGAATGGGTCTAGTTTTAACAATATGTATCCAGCACTGTTGACTATTCACACTCTGAAAATGTATTCGAGCTGTCTTTATCAGCTTGCTATGACGTTTCGTATGTTGAGGCAGTTTGATTATTTAGTTTCCTAATATTCAGCAAATCAAACTGTTTGCTATGGTATTTGGCTGGAGCAGTGCAAATCATTAGCTGTTAACAGTTGGAGAACTCTAACAATAGCATGTTTTATATCACAATGAGATTGAAAACTACCTCTTAATACATTTAAGCTTTTAATAATTGTCTAAATGATTCTTATTTCAAAATAACGCACTATACTAACACATTTCCAATTCTTTTTTCATCATCTACTCTCGGGAAGTATCATTGCAATTTTTTTTCAGCAGTATTTTGGGTGGGGATTTTATGTGCAGATAGGAGGCACGACGATTTATTTTCTGGCATCCTTTGTAGGTTGTGCGGTCACTTCAGTGGCATTCAAAAAAAATGGTCCAAAACTTGTTAAAATTGAGGTTTTTATCTATCTTTTTGTTCCGATCATTTAAAATGAATCTTTCTCTCATAAAAAACAGGCACTTGGTATGGAAAGGAATTTCAGGTGGTTAATGGCGACAATTCAACATTGCTTGATAGAACATTTTTACCAGAATTTAAACGCTCGTTTTCAGCGGTTTATAAATTGGATTCAGGAGCTCTGCAGAAATGGGAAAAGGATTATTTGAATATGATGCAAAAACATAATACTATACAGGTAATTTTCATTAAGATCTTACGATGGAAATCTGTATGCATCTATGTCACACAAATCGATTTCTTCTAAAATAGTTTTGAAATTTTTGTCAAATAAGCAAATTATATCAAAGAATTCGCAGAGATAGTAAAAATTTTTGAGCTACTATTACTGGATGATGTACGCCCGACCTCTTTTGATATTTATAAAATTCTTTCTTATTGACATTGTTCAAATTTACAGAGCAATTTAAAATGTGCATCGTCAGTGCCAAATTTCAAAAAAAATCTCAAGAAAAGTTGGTGTAGCTCAAAGGATTGTAAGATCACCAAACCAATATCAAGTTCACTTAAGAGCATTGACCAGTGCAATTTAGATACAGCTGTTGAGGCATTCATTTCATTTCCAGAAATATGTCTACCACATCTTAATACTGTTCCAAAGGTATCACGGCCAGTTTTTCATGGTGTCTTAGTTGACAGTTATAAAAGCAGTTTCAGTATATAAGAAAATGCGAATATTGTGAAAGTAGAAAGAGATGTTCTAATTTATGAAAGCATTATTTCGAAAGTTAAGAAAGAACAAAATTTAGTGAAAGAGAAATCTTAGTTAGTAGTCACATTTATCATTACTTTACGAAAACTAGTAATTTCAAGCATGACTGATAATTTTTGTATTGATTACATTCGTTCCTTACAACATGATTTTGTTTTCAGTCTATTCTCAAAACTTCATCTCAACAGTCCACAAAGTTCAAGTCACAGGAAAATAAGCACTTAATTGATGATCCTAATCTGACTTATGAATATCTGCCTTCTGCTGATAAATTGCAAAGCACAGGAACGATCAGTAAATCATTTGCAACTGAGTTTATGAATAACAGTTTAACTCATCAAATCAAGTATGTCAAATTTTTATCACTATTATCTTTTAAAAAATGTGAAAGGTGAAAGGTAAAATTTTGTGCAATGAGTGAGAATTGTTGGTAATGACTAAAAGTAGAGGGAAGAAGTTTAAAAAAATGAAGTATTAAGAAGCCTTCTTGTAAACTTTTTTAATGAGTTTTAATTATTTTAACAAGGAAATTATTTGCAGAGATTCCTCTAGTCTTCGTGCTCATTCAAAAACTTCAATTAATGTATATGATGAGGTCTACGAGTACATTCCGAACAAAGACAGTTTTGACGAAAGCAAATTTTGTGGTCAAGGTAAAGTTATAAATTGTTTTATAAGTCCAACACATCGGAATCAACCATTATTTTTCTAATCTACTGTACTTCTTATCATAATTGTTTTTTTTATCAATTCAATTGCTAAATTTGAATTGACGCTGAACTTTTGTTTTAAATTAAAAGACAATATCAATTTATGAATTAAGCAGAAATAATGATGATGTTCTTCAAGATCCAACTTTGAAGTTTCAGTTCACTATTTTTAGCCCCTTTTCTTGAAATACCTTTAAGTATTTTTTAAAAACTAACAATCAGTAAAAATTGCAGATAATCGAAGAAATGTAGAAATTAACAATACATTTTGTGACAAACATCCTTGTCTTAAGTCTACAATTACCAAGTACATTCTTCCTCTGTTAATAAGTTTTGCGTTGAGCAAAAAAGTTTGAAACTATTATTAAGAGTCTGTAAATACAACGACAGCAAGCATCACTGTTTAATAATTTATTTGGCACATATATCACCTCTTTTTTATAGTTTACCTATTCATGATGTTCCTGAAACGACTCATATATCCAGGAAATGGCGTTCACTTTTAAATATGCCTCAAAATCGTGATTTTTCGTCAAATTTTGGATCTGTTAGTCTTGAATCTCTTAAATTTCCTATGTTCGCTGTAAGCTAAAAGAATTACTCCACCAACAAATCTTTGGATAATTTTTTTTTATATTTTGAAAATTTTGAGGTAATTGCTTGTTTTGTAAGACTTTACAAAATCTTTTATACCATAGATAAACCCACAGTGTAGTGCTTATAAAAAATTGATCACAACGTGCTCGCCAGAACAGTATGAAACATTGAAATTGCGAGATTCTGCTGTCGCCGAAAATGGAAATTTTTATCATCCAGCTGAGCGCTCGCTGGGTTTTACTACTGCTGACCTTGCAATAAATACTTTTGGAGTAGGAACTTTGAAAACTAGAGAAGGAGAAAGGTATCCAAAATCTTGATTCTAGAGAAGTATGAATGCGGGGAAAACATTTACTTAAGACATTCATCCAGTGACTGATTACATAATCTAAAAAAGCGGAAAGTAAATTGCTGCGGAGTGGAAGTATTTATTACAGATTCTTGAAGAATTTGGCTTTTTTGTCAAATCAAAAACAAAATACCAGAGTTTCTGAAGGAAATGATTCACTGAAATATTTATCACAATGTGAAAACATGACAGATAAGGAGAAAGCAACGAATTTGTTCATAAAAACAATTTTACCAAGCGATGGTGACAAGCAGATATGTAACTCTATTTCTTCTTCTCTCATGTTAGTTAACGCTTTTTGTTTGCTCTAAATTTATGAAAAAACTACGGAACATTTTTACTGATACGTTTCTGACTGATATTTTCTATCCTACAGTCAAAAATTTATCTATAAAGGGCAGTGTGTCTGTAGTGCATTTATCTTATTTTCTGATTAGGAAGTTGATTATGCCTTACGTACAAATATATTTATTGATATCTATCACTTCGTCATAAAAACATTTCAGTCACACGAACATTCAAAAATATATTCCACTAAATTTCTAAATAATTTTAATTCAATTTAATGACTTGTCAAAATGAAGCCGTTTGATAAATTATTTCGTTCTAGACAAAATATTCAACGACAAAATATTCAACAGTTGTTCATTTTTTGATTAGTTTTAGGCAACCAAAAGATGAAACAAATAAGTCCACAAGTTCAACAGCCAAATTTAGAAGTCAGACAGTTACCGGTAGATGTGATGGAAAACATCAACAAGATCAACTTTGTTTAAACTTATTCATGAATGGCACAGCACCATTGACTTTTGATACCATTTCCTTCGCCAAAAAGAGCAATATAACCACTGTGTAAAAATTAGCTTATTTTGTCATCAGACAATTATAGGTAAAAACAAAATGTGAACCAATATTTTGTATTGCTGCCATCTTTTTTTGGAAAAATTATCATAGCCAATTTTTAGTATTGTAATTCTTGATAACAAATACGTTTCTTATTCTGGAATTGAGGGACATTCACTGCTTGCAATACATTAATCTGGTCTAAAAATTTATTCATGTTACTTAATACCTTAAAGAAGACTAACAAAAGTGATGGTTTCTGCCAATAAAAGTGTTGTTTATGTGAGCAGTGCAATTCACAATGTGCTGAATAACGTTTGGTAAGTGGAAAGAGCACGATTTGATGATAGACGCTACGATAAGTTAAGAGATAAGTCACAAATTGGAATGCAGAAAATTGCATAATAATAGTTAGACACAAGGAAATATTACCATGGTAACAGTAAAAAGCTCTCAAAGAAAATATAGATTGTAAGGCCACGTTATATTTTATCCATATGGTTGAGGTTCACGTCATCGGTGAAATTGAAAGTGCTTCAGGATTTCGGGAACAACGTCTTTCCTGTCGGTGGCAACTAGAATTTGGCAAGTTACAGAATAAACATTGTTTGCTAGCGATGAATTAGGCAGTACATACATTTACGTTACATGTGAGAATAATGGTCATGGGTGTTGTAGTTAAACTATTATTCTGTGAAATCTTCAGGTGGAGGTTGGCGTGTAATAGAGGGTGTAGTTAAAGGAGAAACTCAAACAGATGTAGCAGAATACAACGATTTCGCATTTTTTGCTCATCCTCTGGATATTCATCTAGCCACTAAAACTGTGCAGGGTTGACCGATTTCATTTCTATTTATTTTAGGCACTAATTTATTTTAAATTTGAAGCAAAAAAACCTTACTTCTACTTCTTATCAGTGAATTTGATACATTTGCCTCCTATCTTTTGAAAAATATTTAAGACTCCAAACTTACCAGTACTTCCACTGATTCATAAAAATAAAAGCTTTGTATGTATGAATCATTAGGTAGTAGATACAAATAAGGCCATGAGGTAATAGTGCATGCGAAACACAAATGATAATTTATATGCAGGGTGGCCAATAATCAGCTTACAAATCTGGCACTCTGATGAGTTTGGTCGGCAGGAAGTGTATGGTTATGGATCTGTGTATTTACCGGCATCACCTGGTGAACATAAGGTTAACACCATGAAATAGTCAACGTATTTCTGATTAAAGATGATTAATTTTTTTCGAGCAACCTGCTTGGAAGATGAGCATCATTGTTGATAGATGCGAAAAGTTATTTTAATTTTAATTATAGTCTAATTTAGCTTTTAGTCTAAATAGCATAAGCAAAAAATCTGCATAACTGCAGATAAAATGCCATATGTGGAGACCAAAAGGCGATATACGTGAAGAACTGATGCATTATTTTCTTGGTGGCGGCTTGCAACTTACTAGTCAAGTTACAGCTCGACTTGATGAATATTCTAAACTGCGTATCATTTCGATGGGTATCATAGAAATGCGTATTTCACTAATAACCAAGTATTTTGATCGTTTTGGAATTCAGTGTTGATTACATCCAACATGAGTGCATTACGCTTTATACTGGTAGAAAAGTTCCGAAATATTGAGCAGTTCGAGATGCAACTTTCTTGAATTTTACAGGATGATACTGTTTTTAGAATCTGAGCTTCTTATAATACCATTACAATAAGTCATGTCATGTTATTATATACAAGTCTTTAGTTTCCGAAATTAGAAGTTATTGAAATTACGATTCGAAAAAATAATGTTTTTCATACTTTCAGTGGTATAATAATTATCCGGTCCTGCAAAAGTCAACAAAGAACTTTTTCATCTTTTTGATACTTGTTGCTTTCTCAATGCTTCCCTTTCGTTCACTTTTGTGATGAATGATATTGAAAACAATTTACAGCTATGGAAATTGAATCCATCATGTTGAACACTTTATGATAAGTAGATTGTCGCAAAATACAGCATTATGTACACGTAACGATTTGTTTTGAAGTTAGCTGATGTGCAAGTTATGCATACGTATTTTTTTAGATTACACAGTGTGATAGACGCTTTGATGGTTTTTTTTCCCATCAACCTTTTCAAGCTCATATGCAATACAGTTTCGGATTTATACCACTTATTTAGCGGCCTTAAGATATAACAAACCAGTTTCAGATGCAATATTTTTTAATTTTACATAATGACACGGTTTCTAGAACCTACCTAAAAAAGTTTCCAAAACTACTGCATCTTTATTAATCGAACGCTATTAAATCATTTTCCTCAGAATGTTTTAAAAATTGTATTATCTATGATAAATTTTGAATTTTTAATCCAACTTGTTGTGATGAAAGTAGTACAGGTTGATAAGGTGATATATTAGGTATCAACGCTTTAGAAGAAGAGTTGAAAACTCTCAACAAGAAAAGGTCTGTGTAGTCTTAGTGACGAGTGGAATCAACCACTAAAATTTTAAATGATGGCGCTCTACTGCATTTACTACTCACAGTAGCAACACCAAAAGAATCATATTCCAGATTTCATGATGAAACGATTTTCAGCAACAACGAAAATGAAAGGAACGTGTCCTGAATAGTAGTGGAATGGGCGTGTTTATATGGAGCAAATTGTTGACGAAGTTTGATATCTGAGCAAACCACTTTAAAACAAAGAGAACATGACAAAAAGTAAATTTACAGCTGTGACATTTCTGAAATCATAAAATCATTACCAGTGACAAACATGGTTGTGTACAAAAAAACCCCAGTTCTTTATCTATTCCTCGCTTACTTATTCAATGAATCATTCAATACTTTCCATATATTAATCCATTTCCAGTAGCATATCAAACATTTACCTCTCGTAATTGCATTCAAATTTTCCTGAAATAGATATCAAAGCTTTATAAAAGAAATGAGGGTACGTAAACTTGTTGAGAATGATTTTGCCAAACATGTCAGTGAGTTTAGCTTCATTAATTTATACTAGACAGTTAAGATCACTGCATCAAACTCAGAAGATTGAACAAATATTGTAATGTTTTTTACATAGACGACCCAATTTCCCATTCTTAATTTCCATATTAGCATTGGCAATAACAGTGCGAACAAACTTATCACAACAAATGACGATAATTAATTAAAAACAAATTAGTGAAAAACTGCAATCTCAATCTCATGTTTGTGTATCCGATAAAAAGGATGAACAAGAAATAGACTGAAACACCATCGTCCTATTTTTGCGGTTTTATAGCATTTCATATAACGAACACACCTATGGCCGATTATTTAGTATATCCTGAAGAAATTCATGGGTGTTAGGAAGAAGACTGATGTGAATAGCCCAAGTTCATTTATGAATATTTATTCAGGTCACCTCTTCGTTATTCACTTAATTAATTCTATCCTGTCTGTCTTCCATTCTAATTGCATGCTATATGAAAAAAAATTATAAGCGAAACAAAATTTATCTCTGACTATATATGAGAATTATTTGTCTTGCACATTATCTGTTATGAGAAATTGTTTTGCACTTTTCTTTGCGAAGTGAACCAAGTCGAAAATTGCTCACTTTACGACACCAGATATCTCAGCCAACAGGTTCTTATAGCAAAAGTCAATATTGCCGGTACTGATTTTTTATGTACATTTAACGAATAGTTCACTACTTTTGGGCTCGCTCATTTGACCTAATTTGAATCTTCTTAGTCCATCCCGATTTATTTATCTACATACTTGGCTGAAATAAATGCCAAATGACAAGAATATGCAGTCTGAGAGCCAGATTCAACAAAAACAGCTAGTATAGAGAAAGATTGGGACAAGCAGATTTGTAAGGAGGAGAACGTGCAGGAATTTGAACAAAATGTATGCTAGGAACAAGAAAGAATCAGCGAAGAATGCACTGTTTGAGAGCAGGTTTCAGACGTGAGTTCATCCCACTTCTCTTATAGCTGTTACTAAATTAATCATACTCATGCCAGTTAGCTCACAGGTGCATGATTTAAATCTTTAAAGAACGTGCGGTTAAGTGGTATAGGTTCAAGCACGGGTTGCAAAAGTTCATAGATATGTATGTCATGAAAAGTAAATTAGTTGCGCTAATTTAGATTTCTTACGATTACGAGTGCTGGGAAAGAGTGATGTTTCTGTTCCGGTAAATATGTAAGGAAAAGATGCCAATGTACTATTTTGACACGTTTAGTAATGTCGTTGAATGATTGTTTTCCCTTATCTTATGGCTGTATTGAATGTGTTAAAAATTTAAATGAAAAAGAGAACAGAATCAATTCAGAAGTGAATGATTGTCAATTCTACCACCTCTTTAACACTATAATTTATTCGTAACTACGTGAGTGAGAGGTTTTATCGTAGAGGAGCTATCAAAGTTTCCCAATTAATATAGCAAATTTTTAGGTAACCAAAACTTTCTGTCCGTAAAATGATACTTAGGAATTATTCTTGGTCTCTGATAATAATAACTGTTTCTGCTGTCGTGGCGGAAGTTATTTGGCTCGACATTGATAATCATGACAGCATAATCAGAAGTGCTCAAGTAAACAATACATTAGTTGTTTCAAAAGTTTTGAAATCTTTTTTCTTTTTAATATATATATATATATAAAATTTTCTTTTGTGAATTCGTGTGTTAGCTCATGTTCTGGCACTCTCGCTGTACGCGCCAATCACTCAGTTCTGTTGATTCCGGTACACTGATCGAGTGCTTCCCATATCCTTCACAAACCTTCTTTTTGGCAACTTCGCCTGTTTTCATTTCTGATTCTAGGTTCAATTTTTTCCCTTTTATTCTCTATTTCCTGATTTGATGTATAGTTTGACCTTTGACCAGCTGGCAAACTCAACTGCTCGACAACATAATAAAGTCCACTTTATTATGTTGAGCAGAGGAGTGAGCTTATGCTTCTCCAATTACATTATGTTCTTGCAGATATCGTGCCTATATCTACCAGTAGGGTAGCGATTTTGAAGCAGAAAAAAACCCGTAACACGTACTTGCCAATCATTCTGTCTTATCTGACGACTAGATACAACCTCGCAGAAAATCCTGCCGTTAAAAGCGTATTAGCAGCCCAGAAGGCGCTTTTGAATACCGAAGTAGGAAAGAAAACGCATCGTGCAAAGCTAATCAAGAGCGAACGAATAAAATCTCGTCCATAGCTGGTTCATCAAAATGGCTGCAATACGGAAACATTACCTCGCAAGATTAGGCACGATACTGTAAACAATATAAAAATATGCTTGGAGCTGAGAAAGGTATGTGCCAACATTGTAGGGAACGTGTAAAGACGGTGGACCATCTCGCAACGCAGTGCGAAAAAATGTTACATCACGACTCTTCTAGAAGACACAGTAAGATCCTACGATGCATCCATTTAGGACTTTGCAAGAAGTATGGTCTGAAAGCATTTCCGTGCTTGCGAAGCCATTCTGCTCAGGAGATTGTCGCGAATGAGAATGTTGAGACTAGAGCCAATACGCGAGTAAGAACAGCTGTAAAGATTAGTGCGGATCGACCGAATCATGATACGAGATAAGAAGCGACGTGAAGTAATCCTGGTAAAGGTTGACATCACTAGTCAGAACAGGTTGACAGCAGTCGAGAGCGAGAAAAAACGCATACTGGCTAATAAACATAGATCAGGGATGAAATGCATGACCAAAATAATTACCTATGTGGTGATTTGTAGAAATATGTTTAGAGAGAAAAAGTCTCCAAGATAACAAATTTCCTTGAACGCTACGCGAAGGAAATCCCATCACATCAAGACATATATTCAGCTCACAGTTCTCAAGAAGACGCTCGATAGTCGTTATGAATTTCACTAGGATGAAGCGGAAACGACCAGCACAATAAATCTGAGCGCGGGAGTGTCGAGCTAGAGTGTCGGAATACGATCTAGCGCCGAAATCAGTAATGAGAAGAAAAAAGACTGACCTCCACATTTTCTTCTATATGTAGTTGTTAGCTGGTCAATGCTTGGCTGGGTTATACATACAAATCTGAAATCATGAAAGAAAACAGGTCATCTTGAAGAAAAATCTGTGAAGGAAAGGAGAAGACACTTCACCAGTGTACCGGATTCATCAGAGTGCGGGGTAAATACCACAAGAGTATCAGACATGTTCGAACTATAAGGGCCAGGATTAAGGAAACGAAAATTTACCTCCGAACTGCTAAGCATGATATTTATTTACTTACATATTTATTTATATTTTTCTATATTTATTTATTGATTTATTTATTCATTCATTCATTTATTTGCTTGGTGATACCTGGTTTAGGTTGTATTTGTTGCATTTTGTGCTGACTGGTGCCCTTATAGTCGTCGACTGAGACCTATTTTTGAAGAAGCAGAAGCAGTGTTTGCACTGGAAAATCCCACAGCAAATGTAGTTTGGGCACTGGTCGATAGTGTCAAGCAGGTGGGAATGGAACATTAATTTTCTGAATTTACTCCTTATCATGCCTAAATGTCATTATGATTATATTACGAGGATTTTTTTATATTGTAGTTATTTTTCAGGCAAAAATTGCTGATAAGTATTATGTTAATAAATATCCCACGATGAAAGTTTTCATTAATGGGGAATTAGCTAGCAAAGAGTACAGGTAAGTTTTTCATGCTATTTCGATCCATTCATTTTTCTTCACTTAATGAAAACACCTATTTTGTGCACCAGATCAACTCGATCAGTTGAAGCACTCATTGCTTTTGTCAAACAACAGCTTGCATCAAGCATGCAAAATTTTTCTACGGTTGAAGATTTGGAGCAGCTAATGGATAAATCCAGGAGAAATGTGGTAGCTCATTTTATGAACAAGGATAGCGACGAGTACCGTAATTTTCAGGTTACTTTTTCCTGTCTACAATTTTTGATATTTTACGTGCTGGCAGTTCTTAAGATTGATTATGAGGATCCTTTAGAGATGTGCTGCTATTTTGCGGGAAGACTGTACATTTTGGGTCAGGATTGATCAAGGCTTGCAATCAGTAACTGAAAATGAAGTATATTTCAGAGATCCAGATACTGAAGACAACCAGAAGGTTTCTTTTCAGTCTTAGCACAATAGTAATGAAAATTAAGCTTATGTCACAGTAGATCGGTATTAATTATTGCTATGAAGAATTATTGAACTTATGTAAATTACATTAGCATCTAAAAAATTAAGGTAAATATTTTAAAATATTAAGTAATGTTGAGATGTCTTTTTAAGCATTTTACAAACTATTTGCAATTTTGGGTTTTTACAGTTGAATTGTAGTTTATGGGCAGTTTTACGGACTATGATTATATAAAGCAGTGGCTTACTGATAAATGTATACCTCTTGTGCGCGAAGTTACATTCGAAAATGTTGAAGAGTTGACGGAAGAAGGGCTTCCTTTCTTGCTTTTCTTCAGAAATCCAGAAGACAGAGAAGGCGACAGAAAATTCACGGAACTGGTAAATGTAGTTCAAAAATTTTTTCATGAATTATAGGTCCCAGTTTTTATGTCCAATATGCCTTAGTAAGCAGTTGTCTGTAGTCTAATTTCAGTACCGCACACTTTACTAACACGTTTATAATAAAATTTGTAGGTTATGCGAGAACTGTATGATCAGAAAAATGCAATCAATGCGTTGTTAGCAGACGGCCATAAATTTGCTCATCCCTTAAAACATTTGGGTAAATCAAAAGATGATTTACCAGTTTTAGCTATCGATTCATTTCAGCATATGTTTTTATTTGATAATATGAATGAATTATATATTCCTGGAAAGCTTCGGCAGGTACATTTTATTTTGATGATTGTTTTCAGTTACATTATAATTCATAATCATTGATTCTTTTATCTGGTTTTTATTGCACTACTAAATATATTCCTGTCCTACTTTCCTGTACTTGTTCTGTTATCCTGTACATTTAAACTCATGCTGCACTCCTTTAAGTATTGTTTTGCATGAACATATCGACATAATTTACAATTAAAATTTCGATAACGTCAGTGCTGTTTAAATATAGAGCTATAATTTTCCGACTGTAAAATTTCTCCATTTCAAAAAAAAAAAAACAATGTCACAGAGTTTCCCTATCACGTTCTCAATTATTCCTGCGTAACAATAATTTGTTTAGAAAATTTCCTTTCAGTTTGTTCTCGATCTTCACTCAGGGAAACTACACAAGGATTTTCATGAAAATTTGGATCAAAAAATGTTAAATTTGCAAAAACTAGCTTTGGAAAATTCCGAAACATTTGACGATAATGCAAAGCCAGCTGCCATAACTTCAGCAGCTCCTCCCTCTTCAGTTTTTAAGGAATTAAAGCCTTCAGAAAACCGCTATTCTTTGTTACATAAAACTGAATTGTAATCTCTGTAATAATGGCACTTCGAATTATTGCAACTAAATAGAAAGTTTTGAGCTTTTACAGTATGCACTTGTTAAAGTTATTATTGGATTAAAATTTAACATAGCGGTTTGTGGATATCGTGTTGTGGAGTCTGTACAAAATCCGCAGTTATGTGTCATATCATTGTGATAATATCTCGCTGATATGAGCTGTAATTATGTCAGTGACTTCTAATTTTTCTAGCGCATTTGATTTGTGTTACTCCTTCTTTGTTTCTTGATTGTTATATAAGCTTATGTGACTAAGATGAAGAGTGGTTCACTTATATCGCCCGTAATGAATCTTGAAAATTCTGAAGTGAACTTTATTATACTCGTGGATGTTTAATGATTTGCTCCTTATATTTGCTTTCTTTCAAGAAATTGTTTCTTTAATTGATTAAGAATTTTTCTTTGCCATGATTTTAAGCAGTCTGGGATTTGCTGTGATTAAAAGCAGTATGAAACAAGGGATTTTGAAAAAATGTGTCGGTTGCGGAAGTAAGGTATTTAGTTGTAATAATTATTGCTTCATGGGTAAATAATTTCTAGATCGGTTAGTTTGTTTTAGTGGGCTTGAATTAAACTTATGTAGTAGATTAGAAAAATTATATATGTATATGTACTTTTGTTATTTGATCTATGTTCTCTGGTTGTTTTGTTGAAATGTTGTTTCCTCTCATTAAAGTGATAAATGAATGAATAGATGTAATCATTCGTTCATTTATTTATTGATACTTCTGTGATTTCGCTTGCATTTCATATTTCAGTTTCTTTCTGACAAGAATAAATATTGAAGTTCTGATGGTGTTGTGTAGTTGGTGTTTTTTTGTCTGTGAGGTTGATTATTTTGCGTAATGCTGTTTTGTAATCGAGGCTTAGGTAATGTAGTGCTTTAATTCAAGTCATGTTTTTCGTAGGTGTGGTGAGTGTTTCGTATCTGATTGACGTAGTTGAGGTTGATTTAAAACTGTATAACTGTTCTATTCTTGATATCATCGGTAATTAGAGTTTATTTATTGCTGCTTATTAATTATAAGGATGGTTTGGTAATGTGAATGCAGTGAAAAGCCAGGGACGTTGTCATAAGAATGGAACTTGCTCTTCCATTTTAGCAGAAGTTAATCTGTTGACATTGTAATTTACGTACCTAAAGTTCATGGCAATCTTCTCGACAGAATTGATTTCAGAACATTAAAGCGACCCACGACATATTATTCATGTGTTTATGCATTTTGCCCAAGAGTAATATGAGAGAAGGAGGAGGGGTGGCAGTTGTGGCTGATAACGATCACATTCTTATCACTATACTGAGCTAACGTAGATTACATTTGCTTTTATCTTACAGAAAGGTGTGGACATTTTGTTTATATTTCAACTTTCTTCCTTCAATTCTAATTTCCTTATAAGAACTTTTTGGTCTGTAACTTGGTCTACGTTTTGATCACCTATGTATTCACTTATAAAATAACTGGACTTTGGTTGGGCACGTGAGGTATTTCTGCCTTAATTTTGAAGGAGTTGTTTTGTATTTTTTCGAAAGAATGTTCCATGTGATTCGATTGCTTGAGTGCAGTCACTAAGAAAATTAACATATTGCACTTATAATTTTTGAGTAATGTCACCTTTTTTTTTGCTTTTAGTAGAAGAGTGTTACAGTGACATCAGGTACCATCTGAAAATGACTGAGGAGGAAAGAAAACATTTGCTTGCAAACAGAACTGGACAGATCAGTGAATATCTGAGGCCAGCATCGCCAAATTATCTAACAGGGAAGCAGCCATGTCAATTGAATGTCTCATTTTGGGAACAAAGAAGACGTAAGAAGCTTCTTCGTAAAGTAAGTGAGAGGCCTTCAGATCCCCGGGCCATATTTGCTGAAATCTTTTTGGAAACATTGGATTGAAATTTCGAATGGTAGTGTGGATTTTAGTAGCCGGCTACTATTTATATCTAATTAGTTTTTGAATATCTTGATTGGTGGAAAAATTGAAGAGATAAATGGTAAAGGAAATGGAGTTGTGGTTGTACCGATTTGAACTTTCATTCTTTAGTTTTGATGTGAACCTTACGAATATTGAAGTTATAGTATAATGAATATCAAGAACGTCTTCAATCATTATATTGTCACGATAAACAGCTTTGTGCTGACCATAACCATGAAAATGCTATGAAAGTAAGCGGCGATGAAATACAACGAAAGCGTAACATCGATAGCTTGCTCGCCAAAATAACTTTTATTACAAACATCACTTTACTTTTTGCTAATGGAGCTGCTTCAATATTGTCTGGTTCTCTTTCCATTATTAGGTATGATTTCAAAATGGTATTGAGGTCTATCGGATTAAATTGCACTTTTTACTCAATCTTCCAACTAGAAAACGTTAAATAACAATGGGTACACAATTCATTGTAGTACATTTCTCGATTCTATGGTGGACTGTGTCAGTGGAATATTAATTTTCATAAGTACATGGGCTATTAGCAATACAGATCCATTCAACTATCCACGAGGACGAGCACGGTTGGAATTGATTATTGTTTTAATATGTTCCATCATTATGGGTGTTGCCAATATTATGATGATTATTCAATCTGTTGAATCAGTTATCACTAAAAATGTGAGATATTTGAAACAGTAAATTGAAAGGTGCATAAATCAAAACTTTAAATTTGTTTCAAAATATGTTTCTTTATACATATTCCATTAGGTTTTAGATTTTTATTCAATTTTTGTGAAGATGAATCACCGAACATAATTCATTTTCAGGTACACCCAGATGCGAATATCCCCACAATCATCATATTAGTTAGTTGTTGTAGCATGAAAGTACTGTTAATGGTGTTTTGTTACAAGCACGGTACACCTAGTTCACATGTATGTTTGTTACTTTTCTTAGTAGCAACTGATATGAAATAACTTGAAAGGAGAATTTTCAAATAATAATATGGTAGTCCCCATTTACTTTGTGTGGATTGATTGTCATTTTCAATTTTATTAGTGTCATCGATGTAGATAAAGATGTTTGAAGACATTAGCAATGGATCAGCGAAATGATGTTATAACAAGTACGGTTGCTTCCATTGGGGCTATTATTGGAGATAAGTATTGGTTGTATGCTGATCCAATTGGAGCCATTTGTGTCTGGTAATGCGTAAAGGTTGACTAGATTAGAAAATTAGAAACAACCGTTTGTTGCTAAAAAATTGACAAACACTTCCCTCATTCAGAAACAACCCATTACAGCACATTTGTGGCTACATCTTGGTTTTTCAATGCTGCGCAAACTATTCCGATGTTGGTGGGAAGACGTGGCGAACAAGAAAATCTATCACGAATTATTCAGATTTGCGTTGAACATGATGAACATATCAAATGTCTAGACCATGTTATGGTTTATCATACTGGTTTATTAGCAACAGTTGAAGTGCACATCGTATTAGCTGATGATTTACCATTGAAAACAACGCATGACATCATTGAGTCGTTGACGAAGAAAATACTACGCTTACCATTCGTTGAACGAGCTTTCGTACATGGTGATTATAGATGTGATGGCGACTGGTTTTTGTAGCTTTTGGCCAACTTTTAACCATTGCTAGTATAAAAAATGTGGACCTCTGGATTTAGCGATTAAATTTTGCTTTCTCCGATCGCTTCCCACATTTAGAAAAAACAATGTCTAAACCCGAGGTACTGTCCTCAATTACATTAAAGCTGAAGAGTTTGTTCGTTCACACTCGTCATTATATCAATACTGAGCTTAGAACACTTATAACTTAGACAGACTACTTGTTGATATATTAATCAATCTTAAATACTGCTTTGACATCCTTTGAACGAGTTTTCGGGACTGATATTTGACTACACCAAATTGTAACACTTCGGTTATATAAAAAGGCCCAATTAATTGCAAATTCAACTAGTGCACGCAACACAAATGTAACTGCAGCAAGTACTAATGATGCCATTAAGGGATACATCACGAGTAAAGACATCTTCAAAAATGACGTTGCAATACGTGAATAATCGTCGGAATATAGTATGTATCAGACTATATTTACCTAAAAGTCTTGCTTCTTCAATTTTACTTTTATTCAACAGTTTTATGAGTTACTGGTAAAGAAACGAACTAACGCAAAATATGACAATAACTAATTTGAACATACCATGAAGGAAGAGTAGAAAACTTACATAAACAGCTACTGTTAGAGATAAAATAGATGAAGAGCATCAATCAAGAGATATACGTACAACCCTATCGATCCAGCACGATTGAAATACTCATTAGTTTTGGTGACTTGTTAATGAAAAATGCAAAATGTATGCATCTGAAACAAATACATCCCGTAATTTTTGTAAACCCTACCATCTTGTATGTAAACAGTACTTCAAACAAGTCATCTATTAAGTAATCTAGCATGTCTTTCCAATGAATTCTACTGCAACTTAAATATTTACTTAAAACAATGAACAGGTAACTGACATAAACTTCTCTCAAAGCAGGAAGCACACTGAAACGACAAAGCTAAAGCAGCGAACTTCGCCTGAAAACCATATATCTGTAATCATGGAGATTGCTGGAAAAACTGAATACTACAAGCTATGCAAAGCAAAGACTACCATTATGAACTTATATTCACATGAAATTATGAAGGATCCAATACCATCCTACCACAACTGTACTGAAATAAAAACTAACGTATACACTCTGTAAACACATACTAAGCAACCAAATTTATAGGAATAAATTAATTGTTCATAATTTTATTGACCATATCATACAACACAATATAACAAGTGCACAAATTATTGTATGGAAAAACACAACTATTGACCTTACCTAATTACAATGGCTCATATCCATTCCGAATTTCAATTTTTCAAATACTCACTGAATTACACAGGATGAAATCTAAAACAATACACAGTCCGTTGACTGTTTTTATCCATGACTCATTAAATTTTTGGTACAAAGAACATGAAACAAAAATATGACCAACATCAAGATGCGACAGGCAATAAAACGTTTTGAGGCAATAGTTCTCAACAAAAAAACAAGAACAAAGCACGCAAATTTAATAAAAAATGGCGAGATATGACGCGAAAGAACGAGAAAAAGTGACAATTAGACTAGAGTTCAGGTTTCACATCGGGAAGTTCGGGATATATATCCAAAAAAGGAAAAGCTTTTTGACACAGGTTTCGCGCAAGCTGAGCCAAATTATATCCTGCTTTGTAGTACAATGTGTTTGGTGCATTAAATTTGAAGCAGTTGCTGAACAGTCTTCGAAGATCGGCAACAAATAATCTTTCCTTAAAACCAGATTTCAATGACAGGTTCTTAATCATGAAATTAAAAAAAATTGAAACCCAAACTGAGTATTTTCATTTGCTCAGCACACAATATGTAACTTACATGGATGTAATATTTTCCTTTACAGCGCTCATACATTGTTTTCAAATCAATTGGGAATTTTATGTATCCATAATATTCCGGAACTTCTTTCGCATCCACTGGTTTTAGAAATGGCCATGATGATTTGTCTGATTTTAATTTAAGGAGAATACAACGAATGTTTCGTTCAAGTTCTTCATGCGGTACTAATTCTTTTTCATAGCATTCCAGTCCTGGCAGTTTGGTGTATGGTACTAATGAGCCATCTAAAGAAGGTTTTAACAGTTACATATCTTAAAATGCCCCCAATTTATTGCATGACACTAAAACCTTGCATTATATGTAAGAACTATTTTTTGAAATTAATACAAATCAATAAACAGTAAAAAAAAGTATAAATTAAAAGTATGCATAATTTATTTTTTCTAAAATATACCATGACAATGGAAGACATTTCCAATTCTTGGCCAACTTTTTTCTGCTTTGGACGAGCTTTCTTTGATGGCACTTTGATAAAGATCATGTAAACGTTTCAAGAATATCGCTAAATTTGTATACACTATCCTGAAATTAATTTCATGCGCCTTTTGCACTTTTGAAGCTTTTGAAGTAAAAAACGGACTGCACTCATTTCATAGTATCAGATACAAACCATGGATGCAACTGACAACCCATTAACGTCGCTCCTTCGTAATCTTTAATGTAACCATGATACTGCTTCTTATCAATCGTTATTTTCTGGGAAAAACCTTGCTTCTTGAAATAGCCAACAGCAAATTCATCAGCATATGTCAGAAAATGATATATGTGACATGTTGTAATATGATAATCTTTTAAGTGGTTCATCATGTGAGTCCCATAACCCTTTACCTGTAAAATGGAATTACTGTTACCAGGTATCTCTAACAATTGACAAAAATAATCAGAACCTGTTCATTTGCCGTCACAGCACAGAATACGATCTCGATAAACCCTTGTGTGGGAAACTGTCGAAAGCATATGCCTCCGATTACTCCACGTTCTGTAAAATACTGACCCTCAATAAGGAGTTCACAGAAAGCACCGAGATATTTCGTGATACCATAGGAACTAATGCTTTTCGAAAAGGAAGTTGAGATAATTATTAGTAAAAGTGACCTCTCTTGATAATGACCAGATTTTTGTGACGATTATCAAAAACAAGCCTTGAGATATACTCCTTGGGCATACGAGGTAACTGAGTGCTAAACAGACACTGCAACTGTAATAACCATGCTAATTTCTGATGACAATGATTTGCATCATAATTATTTGAAATTACGTGGAAAGATATCACGTTATCAAGTTCCTGAAATTAAGATACTGAGTGAAGTCAGAATAACTTGCGTTACATCTCTTGATCCTTTCCAGATCTTCGAAACACACTACATTTTACAGCAAATAAAATTACATACCATAAGAAAGAAACTATGAAAAGCGGGATTCAATTTCACCTCTAAACGAGAAACTTCCGTTCTGGCAACATCTACTTCGAAAACATTCATTTTAGACATCCAGCGCTTCGACTGCATATTTGTTAACTCCATTCGAGCAATAAGTCGTAGCATCAAAGACTCGTCGAAATTCGTTTCACATTGTGTAATCGGATTTAAATGTTCCAACTCTGGATTATTGCCAAAGAAATTAAATGTAAAATAAAGCACAATTTAGAAAGCCAGTAGTCATGGATTTTTTAAACATTTATATTGTATGCAGAATATTACGGTGCATAAATGAAAGCAAACAATGAGAATAAAATAACCTTGACGAGGAAATTTTGTTTCCAAAATATTAGACGTCACATCTAGATGAGACTCCGTACTCCAAACGGAATAACCTCGTTTCAATGAAGGTCGAGAAATTCCGTCAGGAAAAGAGTATAATATTTTTGAGTCCGTAAGCAAATTACTGCAGCTAAGAATGTCATTCAATTCAGATGCAAAATTGAGTAGATTTTGAATAACCTAAAATTATATGGAAATAAATTAATATTAAAATTAGTTAACCGGCCATGCTAACCATGTTAATTTTGAAGCACCAGAATCTTATTTCTAAAATTCAACTTTATTACAACAAACTTGGAGATTAACACTGCGGGTGCATTTCTTGACATCGTATATGAAGAATGGAAGAAGAATGATTAAAAAACGAAAGCCAAATATTTTAATGATGCAATATGACTGATGTGATTTGTTTTCCTTTGGTAGTAAACAGAATCGTAACCATCTTGCATAAATGATACGATATGCCAATAAATTTGGAAACGACACTGAAACTAACTTTTCTAAAATTTATACTTTGTTGTAGGAGTACAATTTCAATTTGGACAGCTTGTCGATACATCTGAGACTAATATGGTAACTGATTTGCAGTACTGCTCACACTAATTTTTGCAAGAAATGGAGAAATATTCGTGATATAATGGGCATAAATAACTTAGAAAGTCGGTTTAACCACCTCAGTAACTTTTTCTTAGTCAGAAAAGACACCCATACTTACATTTCCCTTGCATATCTTTTAAAGAAGGCAAAGTCCAGTCATTGATTGATCGCAAAAATGTTGATGCTATTTCAACACAACATTCCAGTTCTCTGAAATTTATTTTGTGGTATTTCGGTTACAAATGAATATTACAGACGAAAAGAAATGCAACTAATGTCGAATGATGCAACAGAGAATTTTGAACTATTGCTAGACTGTAAAACTTGCAATTAATGCTGGTCTTTATACATTACTTACAGAAATAAATATGTTAATTATCACATGTATAGAAACCTTTGTTGCCCAGCACATTTGCTTATAATATAATAAGAAACGATATCTTCAATTGAAAAAGCCTCAAAGGGTGGATATCCAAATGAACAAGAAACTATTTCATCACAATTATCACTGTTAATTTCTTTGTCCAATAATGTTCGACCCCGCTCGATAATCTACAATTACATGTTTTCTACAAAGTAAGTAATTATTCATAAAGTATCAGTAATTCAATCTATTTTACTGCTTTCCGCTTCAACTAAAGCATCAAAGATGTGATAAAATTCCTGCAAACAAACCGACGAATTGTTATAACTGTTCTCAATAGACTTTTCTTGCGGTTTTTCTGCATCTGACATCATTAGTACTAATTTCTTTACGTCATGCTTTTCCTCCTTTTCCTACCCATCAAAACTTCATTTCCTGTAAAAATATAATACGGTTATAATACGTATAATATGCCACACTCAGACTTTCTGCAACTAACAACCACACGCTCCATTTATCGTAACCACCATGCTTCATTCACCGTGCTCCATTTTTCGGTTGATAAAATACGGTCCGTTTAATGCTGCTTACATAAATATCACAGATACTTACTCACTATGACGGACCGCACATCCAACTTAAAGTTAATGGTAATGAGGGACTTGGGGATTGCGTGTTTGATTTGATATATTGGTTGTCGCTTTTGTGACGCTTTGAAGTGCATGAGGAGATATGAAGGCAGTTTCTTACTTCCTTGCGATATGTATAGGAGCATTACGTGATGAATGGAATGCAGCGCTTGTTATCTGTCTTAGGTTACAGCTGAATATTTGTGGCAAGCCATAAGTCATCCTGTTTGCTATTCCCGATACTTGGGTTCCAAATTGTTTGAATTTAGATGGACGGTTTGATATTGGTAGTATGGAAGAAAGATAAGCAAGGACGTTCCAGCTCGTCACTTATGCCTTGTGGTTCAAAACCATTTGACTTCTGGCGGACGGTTTACATGACACTGAGCCTAAAAATAGGTAAGAACGTAATTCTTGCAAGTACTAATACCTTGTGTTCAGAACCCTTTGACTAGCGATTAAACGTTTGCTTGACGTGTTCATGCAGAAAGATACGATATGTCCTCATGGTCATGTTATGCAAACTTACCATCGATTACTACTACATTCAGTAAACAACAGGAAATTGTCGTTGGGAAAATACAGATATGCTTGCTTAATCGTGTGCAATTTGTCCCTTCCAGTGACATTCATGGTTGGTGACATGATTGTGCAAGAAACACCCATAATACCGTGGTTATATTGCGCAAATTATTTATAGTGCAGAAAAATGCCTATACTCCTGCATAATTATATTATGCAGACTATCCATTATTATTGGGGAACATTCGTGATGTAGAAGAATATAGAAAAACACCAATATGCTGTGGTCATGTTGTGCCAGTCATCATTCATTTTTGGTGGCAGTCGATGATGATTGGTTTGCGCAACATGATCAAGTCAGGAAAATTGAAAATGTATTCCTGTTTGTCGCGAATTCCTTGTAATTTAGTATTATTGTCATGTGCTTTATGAAAAGTGGCTTTACCCGTAATCATGTCATAATAAGAGCTACCCACTTTTGTTTGACGTTTTTATTGGACGGTTTCCATGATATCGTTATTTGTAAAACACCATATTTCAGTATTCATGTTATGTGAAACATTCAGTATTTGTAGTCACTTCCGGTGGATTGATCGCTCGGAATGATCATATTTTATTATTTTTTGTGACTTCCAATAAGCGGTTTGCAGGATATGATTGCACGAAAAAAACACCGACATGATTACGAAAGCACATTATGAAGCGTCCATTACTTCTGGTAGCATTTGATGGACGTTCTTCATTTAGCGCAGAGACACAGTATATATTCTCACATCCGATTTCTGTGAATCTTCTCCCATTTTTGGTGATTTCACTAGATGATTTTTATGACATGACTATGTGGGAATATATATATTATATCGCTAACCGTGCGATTAAAAAGCTCTTCGTTTCCAGTGAGCAGTTTTGCACTACATGCTCATGTGAGAAACACCTCTATGCTTATATCCCGGCATGACTATGTTTTGTAAACTCTCACAATTCTAGTGACTGCAAATGATGTTCATATAAGCGTGTCATTAGTTGCTTTTTATGGATGGATATTTTGTATGGCACAATTGCAAACAAAGATATCGATATGCTTCTATAATATGCAAACATTCATAACTTCTGATCATATTCGTTAGTTGGTTTGCTTGGTATGGTCGTGAAAGAGAAGTTTCTCTGTGATTATGTTAGGAGTGTCGATTATTTCTATTTGTTGTCGATTATTGGTTTGCATGGGACCGACATGTTCAAGGAAATGGCGAGTCCTCAAGTGATGTGGAGTTATCAATCAAGCAAATAATAGACAACTTGCTTATGTGAGCTGGTGTTCTATGCAACAGTGTTATGTAGGCCTTACATTGAAGCCATTAGGAATACTCAACGATGCATGTAAATCGTGCGGGCATTTCGATATCTTCCCATGCAATCATATCTTGCAAGTCGATCGCCCGATGCAATCACAATTACTAAATGCTCAATATTCGTGTAATTCATTTTTGGTAATTCCAACAATTGCTTATTAGATTTAGAGATCGTGCATTTGCACAAATATAGGAACGTGGTTGGAATACGAGATTTGATCATGTTATGGTATATTACAGAGGGAAGTTTTTAACAACCAATCAACAAAGACTATTCTGCTGCAATCATATTGAACATTTTCGAAAGACACCCTGTGAGATATGTTTGTCGAGATCGTCAGACTGGGTTTTTCATCTCTCGGTTATAGAATTTCACTGTCAACTTTCCAAATTAGATTTATGTGAGGCATCTTTCAGCTGTGATATTTTAAGCAGTGTGAGCAACAGTATCATGTTGAGAAAAATAGGATTTAGGGTTAACATTTCGTCATGTTATAGGTTCAAATGGATGATGTTGGCATGAAAACTGATACGGAACTGCATTTGATCAAAAATGAAAGTCCATTAGAGTCCGTTATAAAAAGTGATGGCATTGATGAACTAATTTCTTTATCCTTACCTACGCATACACATTGTCACAAGCGGAAGCATATTAGGTTCCATATTTGATTACCATTCCTCACTAAAACCTTTGTCTATTGTTTAACTATTAATAAATGATGAACTGACAATTTGAAATGTGTCGATGTCATCCTCTCGCAAGTATAAAATTTCGCTTGAAGAAACAAATTTCACTCTCTTCAAGGACTGACTTTGATGGAATTAAAGTTTCGTCCGATGCGATTGAAGCTCGAAGACGAGAAAGGGAGCGATTAGAACGTTTAGCAAAAAAATCGGTAATTGAGCCAGGAATCGGGAATTTGGGAGAATTACAAGAAATTTTGTATCTTAACAACCGCTCTGCATGTGTGCAATTAGAGCCAACATCCAAACGTGTGAAAACACCGTTGTCTGACTTGAATCCCTCAACGTCATTTGTAGAGGACGATGTTATAGAACTCAGTAGTGATGACGATTGTGAAGTCTACTACCGCCCAATAGGTTCGTTTGCAATTGCCATAACTTTTCGTAATCAAATTTACATATTCGTTATTTATACTTATAAATACGCTTTAATGATGGATAGGGGGTGTTTCACTTCCAAATCATAAATGATGCAATGCAAGAAGATATAATTTGCATCAGCCGTTGTCGGTGGATTAGGACATTTTAAAAAAGCAGGAGTAAGTTCTTAGATATTATCAAGAGAGATATAATATTTTGTAATACTGGTAGGTATATGGTATTTTGCATGAAAATTTGCTGGAGTTGAGATCCATGTTTTGAGTTTATGGTTAATTGAGGATATATTTCAGATTTGATTCATCCTTTGCAGTCTAATCAGCGGTTGCAGCTCTACAGGGTATGTTTTGGTTAGTTTTTATTTTAATTTTTCATTAATTTCTTTCTGAGAACCGTATTTAAATCTGCAGACTTCTCGCAAGGATGTTACTGATGAATTGCACCGTGTTGAACGGGAAAGATTGCGTAAAAAGATGCTCACTGAGGAGGAGCTGGAAAGTAAAAATTTTATGGGAGGTCGACTACTCGTCAATCCTGGAAAAGCATCAGACGAACCTGATGTTTACGTCCCTTTTCATCTGAATGATGTGCTTCAGCCACATCAGTTAGGAGGCATTCGATTCATGTTAGTACCCTACTTTTATCTAATGGTATAGTTGCGTTTGATCCAGATTATATTTGTAGCTTTGTAAGCTTACGAAGCAGTGGTAAATTGCGTTCCAAACTTAAACTTACAGGTATAGTAATATCATCGAGAGCGTGAAAGATTACGCAAATTCTCCTGGTTTCGGATGCATTTTAGCTCATGCCATGGGATTGGGAAAAACTATTCAGGTAGTTAATTCATGCTTTTAAAAAATCTTGTTTCTGGAAAATAATGTAATAATTGGGGATTTTCGATTTAGATAATTGCGTTCACGGATATTTTTGTTCGTACGACAAATGCAAAAAAAGTGTTGATCATTGTACCAGTAAATACGATTCAGAATTGGTATTCCGAATTTGAAAAATGGCTGCCGGAGTGAGTTATTCTGATTGTATTTCGTCAAACGTAAAAATTTTTGTATCATTTATGAGAATTTCTACGTAGGTGATCTCGCTTTTTAAAGTATGGTCACATAAATTATCTCAATTATTAACACTTTCATTTTTTTTCGTGCTACTCGTGCGATATTTTGTTTTCTGTAAAATACATAAAAATTAGAATGCAATTTGGAATTATTAACAAATTTCTGATATTGATACTCGTTTTCCAGTATTCAGCTCATATAAAATGTCAGTTGTTTTCAAGTTTATCATTTTTTATTAACTCTGAAGTTTGGGTAATCAGTGATCGGCAACAGTCTATAGGAACCAACCATATCTGTCCCTTATCTTTATTTGTGTATAAATTTATGTTACAGATAAGTAATTCATGCTCTGAATTTTTTTAGCAAAGTTATTGAAGCGGAAGGAAACATACGTCCATTTGTAGTTTGGCTTCTGGGTGATGCGATGAAAACAAATGAACAACGGGCACAACTGCTACGTTTGTCTTTATGTTTGAGTAGCGTTAGATATTCAGTCTAAGTAATTTTAATCTAATCTATTGAAATAAATTAATACTAACCTTGTTCTATCAAAGCAAGCAAAGGTCGGCATGGAATAATAATGAGGAGTGGTCTTCGTAAACAGTTGAAATCACAATTAAGTCAAGTATTAGCAAAGTTTAAAAGTGCTATAAGTATCATTTCAGAGAGTTTTTATTGCTTTGGCATGGCAGTTTATTAATGTTTTCATAAAGTATTTCAGCATTACAAGAAATGGACTGATTTTTATAGTTTTTTTTCAGAAGAATGGCATATCAAAGGAGGAGTTTTGTTGATTGGCTACGATATGTTTCGTTTGCTAGTGCAAGTCAAACCAAAGAAACGTATTTGTGCTAAATCTAATAAAAAAATATGGGAAGTAGTTGATTTAGAGAAAGAAGAACTTGGTGCATTAACTGTTTCTGGTAAGCACACGATTACGATCTTTATAATCAGCTTTGTTTAAAGTCTGTATCTAATGTTCAGTATTTTTTTTAGCTGCTCGAAAAGCTTTATTGGATCCTGGTCCAGATTTGGTCGTGTGTGATGAGGGTCATCGCATAAAAAATGAAAGAACCGGCATAGCAGCAGCACTCAATGCTATAAGAACAAGGTACCATCATAAAAATTGTGGAATTAATGTAGTATACAAAATTCTATGAAAGAAGCTGATTATATCATTCTCTTTGTTGTGAAATATTCATAGGAAAAGCACATCTGAATGGTAAGATGCAATTTCGATTTTGGATTATATGTAAAATGGTTTAGAAAAAGAACAGGTTAGAAGTAATGAATAATAATAACTACATAAATGTTGATATCCCAATTTTCATTTGTGTATTGAATTTTGAAAATTTATTATTGGAATGTGCATTGCTGCTTGCTTGCAGTCTCATTCTTAATTTCTTTTTCTACTTCCTGAAGGCTTTCAGGCGTCGGATCGTATTAACGGGTTATCCTCTACAAAACAATTTGATGGAATATTATTGTATGGTAGACTTTGTGAGGCCCAGTTATCTAGGTTCCAAGAAAGAGTTCAGTGCTATGTTTGAGAAACCGATAAAAAATGGGCTCTGTATTGATTCCACACCCTCAGATCTTAAGATTGCTCGTCAACGCACTCATGTTCTTGTCGATCTTTTAAAAGGCTTTGTACAGCGGTATCAATTCAAATTTTAAATTTGTTAAATTCTAATTTTTGCAAAAATGCTGTTTAAGAGGTTTGCTTGCATAAATTTAAAGGCGAACACATCACTTATTGAAAAATATCCTCCCACCGAGCTACGAATTCGTTCTTCTGTTGCGCAAAAGTCCGATACAGAGAATACTTTACCGGGCATTTCTGCAGTATGCGCAGAACGAAATCAACGTTAGCGGAACTGCGCTATTCAATCCATTGAAAGCATTTGTTGTCTGTTCCAAGGTGAATTCAGTTTCTTTAAACTATCCAGGAGACTGTTTGCAATTTCGAAATGTAGGCGTCTGAAAATCATTTATTTGTTAAAGATATGGAATCATCCAGACATATTGTATGATGTCCTTCAAAAAAAAAAGAGTGAAGTCGGTAATGGTGCTGATGAAAAAAATGTGCATTTTGTCCCAACAGAAGTAGTCGCCGATAACTTACCGGGTGAATATCTTTATGACTCGTTGGAAAGTGTTGTCTTATTTCTTAGCTTCTAGCACAAGAATTTTTTAAATATTTTAGATTCAACGTTGTCACTTGCTTTAATTGACTCTTCAACATTGCCCATTGCACTGAATGATCCGATAACACTGCAATCTTCTCTTGATAGCTTTAATTATGATGCCAACTTCTCATCGAAAACTTTTTTCGATGAGAAGTTTTCTGTGGCTGATTTGGATACAATTTTACAGGACACAGGAGGTGAATGTCCAACAGCAGAAGATACATCTCAAATGGCGTTATGTATACTTTTGTTCCCATTAATTTTTTATTAGAAAGTTTTTCTAAGAATTTTTCACTTTTCTAGTGTTCGAACTTAAAATTCAGTTTCTGGCAATTTCGTTCTGTTTCTCTTTTGTTTTATTTTAAAAATTTTTTTTAGCTATTCCAACGAATCAGTGTACAAGTTCACCGAATCGTATGACCAATGGGGCTTCATATAAAACTGATGTCCATTCGAAACATTCTACCATTGCTAGCGCTTTACTTGAAGAATTAAACCTTGATAAAGGCATAAGATATGATTGGGTATGTATATTGAAAATTTGTGACTGAAATTGGATAGAATTTCCCAAATTATCTTTCTTTATCTCATTATGCATGATCAGATTTCAGGCTTCGTTTGCTCTGCATGGATATAAACCTGGTATTTTGGAAAATGGTTATAAAATGGTAGTTTCGTTAACCATCATAGAACAGGCTGTAATGAGTGGTGAGAAAGTTTTACTCTTCAGGTATTATAATGCCTTCCTTATGCAGTTTATTATTAGCAAAACGCATCTTTTAGCCTTAAATTTTAGAATTTGAAAGAATATTTATCTTCAGCTTTCATAGTTAGTCTTCATGACATCTGCTTTCAGTCAGAGTTTGCTTACGCTCGATCAGATTGAACGCTTTCTTGAAACATCAAGTTGTTTAACTCTTGGATCCGTAAAGTGTCCGTGGAAAAAAAATCTCAATTACTGCCGTTGGTTTTGTGTCATATGTTCTTTCAAGTTTTTTGTGCGATGTTTGCAGATTAGTTGTAAATTGTAAATGTAATGAATTTCAGGTTTTGATGGGTCTACTGCAGCTACAGAAAGGGAAAGACTGATAACTCGTTTCAATCAAGATCCGAATCTGTTTCTCTTCTTAATTTCAACTCGAGCAGGCTCACTTGGTATCAATCTCGTATGTTTCACCACTGCTTATTTCTGACATCAGCTTCTTATCTTTAAAGTCTTTGTGTCTACTTCGAGTAACGCATTGTAACTATTCTTTAAATATTTATTAGCAAATAATCCATTTCAGAAGTATGGTATTTTAGGTTTCTGCTAGTCGTGTCATCATTTTTGACGCTTCTTGGAACCCTTGTCATGACTCACAAGCTGTTTGTCGTATCTATAGATATGGTCAAAAAAGGCGTACGTACGTTTATCGTTTAATTACGGACAACAGCATGGAGAGGGCTATTTTCAGTCGTCAGATAGGAAAGAGTGGATTGCAACGTGAGTTGATTTTTCCTTTCTTTTGCTTTTATGTTGTTGAAATTCATTTTCAATAATTTTAGAACGAGTTGTGGATGATAAGCAGTTAGATGTTGATGTGACTAAGCGCGAGTTGGAGCAGCTTCTTGTTTACGATGTGAGTTTGGAATAAATTTTGTACTTTATTTGTAAGAAAGTAGAGAGCTACGTACTTAATTATTGTAAGAAACACGTCCGGTAATAGTATGCTTGAATATCAATATCACACGGAGGTTATATTCTTCGTTGTTAATTCTTCCGCCAATCGTTTTCCGTCGTTCTGGCTGTACTCGTCTCGCGCTTTGTTTTGCTGATGACCATTGTTTCATCTTTGCATAATCCATGGTGACGATCGAATGGAATGCTTTTACATGGTCGAATATATCGGTTTACCGAATAGCATTTATAGAAGTACGTTACAATTTCATTCGAAGTCATCACATACGGGATTATTTTTATTTTGCATTTCATCTCTGCTCTGAGTTAGTCATGGTAAATGATTTTCTTACGCAGCATTGCCAGATAATCCATGATTTTGACTCGTTCCTTGCACTGTAGGCGCATACTTTTCTCAGATGTAAACATATTTCTGTTTTGGAGGTAACAGTATCGCGCAACATCTTGTGGGGTAATATTTCCATGTTAGCCACATTGATGAGTCTCCCATGCATGAGAGCTTGATCCCTCCACATCTTGTGTAACATTCCATGATAAATTTTTTTTTCTATCTTGCTAGACAGTAGCAATTTCGGTATTGCTAATGCACTTTCGATGATTGGATTGTTGGAGAGGTTGTATTTAGTCTGGAAGTATGGTACAATAATTAAGTACGTAGCTCTCTACAAAATTGCCCCATTCTGGTAGATATAGGCATTAAAGGATATTTTAAAGTTGGAGTAGCATGAGCTCACTTCTCTTTTCAACATTATGGAGTTCGAGTCTTAGCTCGTCCCTTGTCAAGTACATTCTTTCCAAACATGTAGGTGGATTATGGATTTTGTGTTTATTTATTAACTGTCTGGTTTTTTAAAGCTTTAAAGTCCTCTGGTTCCGGTCTGAGCACCCCAGTGTAGTAGTTTACTAAACTTATGCTTTCTCATTCACTGTGTTGTTGAAGTTGTTGGCACTTTTTTTTTGGCTAGTTTCTCAGTTCTCACCAAAATCTCAGCTCGTACTTTGTCATAACTTTCTCGCATAGATACATTAATCTTGCCTTTCATAATCAGGAACGAATAAAGAATTCTTCGTGATACTCATAGTGCCTGATATCGTCATCCTTTCCCATCCCCGAGTCACATTGTACCCCAAAAGTCTCTGATTCCTTTCTATATTGTAGCTGACAAGCTGCTCTTCGGTCAGACTCTTATAGAACCATTTTTGAAATATTCAGATGTGGCGTTCTTAATTCTAAATAAACTCGAAGTTTCATAACTTCTAATTTCACTTTCGTAAACCTTCAGACGCTCTGTCAACATGTTTGAATTCTCATGACAGTCACACTTGAGAGCAAGTATGAAATTCATGCCCCCTATACACTTTTTGGCCTCCCTTAAGTTTTACCTTGGAGCAGAGTTAGTATGATGAAAAGCTTGATGAGGATTATGTGGAAAATAAATTTGTTTTCCATGCTTATTTTCCACCTCGATGACTTCTCCCGCATATTTTCATAGCATTGTTGTGCCACCTGGATCTGTTTGCGAAATCAGTCATTGACTTAAGGGAATTCTATGCAGGTATATTCACCCACCGCTCCGTTCCTCGCTCTATGCAAAAGAAAATCAGCAGCACTCTCAAAATTATTTTCCGCTTCCATTTTCTCTGGTCTATCTTACGTCCTTGGGCTTCTTGCATCAGTACAAGGCACTTTTGCAATACGATGAATTTTAGAGCTATGTAGTGTATTTTCCTTGAACTAGGTGACAAATATCATGCTACACTTCGTTGTATCCTTTAGAAACCGCTTTTGCGAGCATACACAACCTGCAATGCTAGTGATTGCAGCACTCGCTTGATTCAGTTCTTGAAGGTTAATCGCACACACTTCTCGGAGTACAGGAAACGGCACAAGGGCCATCGCCCTCTCAGTTTCTTTTTGAAACGGTTAAGAACGGCCTTCAGCACCTTCCTTTACCGGCTGCTCTGCGAAACCTGGGTTCCTCGAATGAGTACTTTGAGTGTAATCATTTTACTGGTTTCTGATGCTCTGCATATCGTTTATGGAGCTTTTCACATTCCCATCTGTCCCATTGTTTCCTGTTATTATTGCAGATGCGGTTTTTCTCTGTCCATCCTCCATTTTCTTCTTAAAATCCTGATATCTTGACTGTGAAAGAACACAATGCTTCTTTTTGGTTTCAAACTCTATTTGGAACAGTTTTTTCTTCCTCTCTATTCATCCCATCCGTTTCATTCGTTCTTATTTTCTTTCTTTGTTTCGTCTTCGTTCCTTCAGAAGTACTGCAGCAAGGATTTGCATGAGCATTGTCGTTATGGTTCATTACTTCTTGCTTCTTCGTAGTCGCTTGCGGAGTGGAAAGTTCTTCAGGAACGCGCTTCCCCAGCCCTTTGATAACTGTTCTGATTAATTGCTGTAATTTGCCTTCGCATTTCTGTCATTTCCGCTGTTCTGGCATTTCTGACTGTTGATGTTATTGATTTTCTTGTTGCAACTGATCGTGCTAGTACTGTCGACAATTATTTTCATAACAGCGTCACAATAAAATATCCACAGTAAATGAAGGTCAAAGACATAATAGAAATTGAAAATAGCGAAAAAATCTGATTAGACAAGATTCATTGTCAGCAACTGCCTCAGACTTCGGTAATTAAACTATTTACTGCTTGAATATTGATAGTTGATGATGTAAAGCTGAAGGTGGGTTATTTTTGTTGCATGAAACAATGATTTGAGGAAGCACTTGATGTGATAACAGAAGACTGGAATGTGACTACTTGGCAAGTAGACGATTCACTACTTTGGATGACAGCTTTGTCGCATTCTAAGATGTTTTCTCAGGTGGAAATAGGTTTTTTCTTCATTGTTTATTTCACTTCTTTTGTTATATTTATTGTGTAATTATTTCTTGTTTTCAATATTATCACCAATATTTATTTTGATTATGTTAGGTTCCATTTTTGCACGAAAACATGCTAATGGAACGGGAAGAACGGTTAAGTGAACAAGAAAAACAAGAAGCTAGAATGCTTTATGAAAGAGAAAAACAGATATACAAGAGTGGAGAATTTGATCATAATGACTGGAGATTTCGTAGTAGTAATATTGTCGATAATGAGCTTGATGGCTCATCAAGGCCTTTTCCAAGAATGTGGCCGTCAGCTTTGTAAGTTTTTTATTTTTTGTCTATCAAAATTTCTCTAAAACATTGGTAAAACTTGGTTATTTTATCTCTAGGCAACAAAATCCAAGCCCTTCACCATTGCGACCAACACCAATGGCTATGATTCTTGAACGCGCAATGGATTATCCGCGTAGTTCAGAATCTTCGGAACATCAGAATGCGAATGCAATTCAGATAATTACTGATAGAGGTGGAAATCAAGATTGCTAATTATTAGAAGGAAATGTGATATCAGAAATAACTTTACAATCTCTGAATGATTTTGCATAACCACTTAACTAAGCATTCATGGCTTCTAACCTTCAGACTGTCAACATGTTTAGATTCTCATGACAGTCACATTTGAGAGCAAGTATGCGATTCATTCCCTTTATACATTTCTTGGTCTCCCTTGGGTCGTTTATTATACACGTTTGTCATTGATTAAACTTATGTTTATTCAGAATTGGAACTTCCATGCTTAACTACCCCAGGACAGAAAGGAAGGATTGGAGCATTTGAAAAGTGCTGGCTAGTCACACTACCATCAGGGATTTTCATCCGGTCATTACGTGGTGACGTTTTTGATGCACGTGGTACAGTGTATGATTTGTCCAGATGTCAGTTTCATATTCTATTCATTTTTGTGTACTTTGTTTGCTGACTTTTTCGTATTATTCAATACGGCGAATGTTAAAGGTGATTTAGAGTCATGTTCTAATATATCTTAATCTGTATTATCGCAGCCTATTTCAGATAAAGCAAAAAAAGAAAATAATTCACACACTTCCAATGAAGTGATCGATTTGTGCGATTCGGATTGATTCAAAATATTCCTCGGTTGACTGTTATTTGAATTTCAGTTTTCTTAATCATTTTTATGTACAAAACAGTCTATGTTTCGTTGGCACATAAATATTTATATCTCTGTAAACTAACTAGAAGCTTACATATAAATTGTTAGCCAGAGGTGCTGTTAGCAGTTCGAATGCCTAAATATATTCATTTGATCGAGGGTAGCTGTGTGTTAAATATTAAAGAATGCCCATTTAGCTAGTAATTTCAAGCGTTCTGTTCATTGTAAGTACTCAGTTCAATGAATCTGAGTTTAGGATCTCCGCATCCCTCTCTTTTTACGCATTACTGGAGTTTTATATCCTACAGTTAGGCATTTTTCATGAGCTACATAGTTATGTGCATGGGAAGTCAAACTCTGCTTGTAGGTTCAAAGATTGATGAAATTCCCGTATCTTATGACTTGATCTAGTCACTCTCATAACATGCATAATTGTTCCCTGTTCCGTATTGTTAGTGCTTGCCACCTCAAAAAGTACAAGGTACGCTAGTAGTTACAGTCCACAGACGGTAACTACCACGTTATAGCATTATTCTAAATTTTGAATTTAGGTATTTCCTGTATTGTATGACTTGATCTAATCATTTACTGTGTGATGTAAATCTCGGAAATTCGGCATTTCTCTCTTGATAGTGGACATTAACATTGTACGTATTACTGCAACTGTATTGATGTTTTGCGGTTGTGTATTTCCATGAGGATAATCGAAAACAGCACTACAGCACGTTTCGCTACTAATATGCGTGTCAATTATTTGTATAAACATGAACTGCTATACTGAGGGAGTAGTTGTAAGGAAACATATAAAGACACTGTCTTGCGTGCGATAAGCGCCAGTGCTATATCAAATAATCTTGTTTTGCACTTCATAAAAATAAAAAGTTCGAAACTAAATGTATCATTGATTGGGGGAGGTTCATACAGTCAAGAAGTAAATTTTAGGCATCCATATCCTGAGTAGCACATGTGGGTATACTAGAGTTTGTACTGCGGTAGCGAGGTTATAAACATGATTTGATGTACACAAGCATGACAAACTAGGAGTAACGATATGTGAGGTTTGCGTTGTTGGAATATTCTGTTCTCAATAAAATTAAGCCCACAAAAGTCACGCGCAAGCTTCATTCGACCGTGACTGATTTTGCCAAATTTCGAGGTCTATCAACCTGAAAGAAAGTTTAGATTTACATATTGTGGTAAAAGTTGCACGTGACTAAAAACCCAGAAAGCTGTGTAGTACAAGGTGCTGTTTGAACAATTATATTTTGGTGGATATTAACGATCTAAAAGGCATACGTTTAATCCTTTCAGTTCTGCAACATGGTAACTGAGCAGTTGAAGAGGAATAACGGTCAGGATGTTCTGGATACAGTCAACTGTTTTTGGGACACGAATGACAGAAAGCCTATCTTTCAGATCAATTAACGGTACATCAAGATCAGCGATAATGATTGGGTCACCATCACGTGCTAACACTTGCTGTAATGCGTTGACTGACTTCTAAAATACAAAATGATTTACTTACACTAACTCTAACAAGTATTTATTTTTGGTCGCTCCTAATCAGTATCAATAATGAAATGAAGACTGTAATGCTGGAACCATGATTTTGTGGTTAAAAAGAGACATAATTACATTGTAGACGTTGTCACTGCAAATGATCATCACAATGCTACGGTTTTTGTCTACCATTGCAAGCGGACCATGTTTCAATTCCCCACTCATAATACCTTCACAGTGTATATATGACAGTTCCTACAAAATGCTTTTTCATTTCAGTTCGAAGAAACTACTGACTAATGATAAGAAACATTTGGATTCCAATCACACCAAATACCCCATGTCAGCATATTATACACCTTGATCTTTAATGCACCCTCAAGACAAGTAGCAAAATTATATCCTCGGCCCATTATTAGCAGCGATCGTTCCTGGTAGATTTTCTTGGCTATTTCAAGCACCTCACCATCAAGTTTCAAAACTTCGCGAATTAAATCTGAAATTCCATTTCAAATCACTTGTGCTCTGGCATAAAAGGTGTGGAGCCTTCCATTAATAATTGTCTTACTCTTTTTGTAAACAAATCCCATTATGTAACAAACTTTAGGCTTTCAGTTCATAAATAATCAAATGAGGAGTGAAATCTTTCAGAAATTGCTGTTAGCAACCGTAAAGTATGATGAAAGAGCTACTTAGTAATACAGAGTAAGCGTATCCAATCATCAAATGTAGTAATTAAGAATTTAAATTATCAAATGATTCAAGTCCCTAATAATAAGTTATAGGACGACCATTAATTTCTATGTACAGATAGATTGTAAATTAGCGTTCATAAAGATTAAATGATTCTTTCAGAGTATGCTATAATGAGCTTCTGTACAGCCAAAACTATTTTTCAATAATTAATTGGGTGCAATTTCTGTCGAGAATATTCTTGACAACTCCAGTTTAAACTAAAGATGTCACCTGGTAATTGTCGCAGGCCACTGATAATATCTTCACGACGTTTGCACATCGAAATGCGATCATCACTTACAGTCAAAGCAAACATCACTAGCGATAAAATTTGAGAAGTGTATGCCTGCACATAGTACTGTTTTAAAACATGTTTTGAAATTTTTACACTTTACATTAAGTAGCTTTAAAATTCAACTCAAAAAGGTCATACTTTAGTTGATGCAACACCAATTTCAGGGCCAGCATTAATGTGAACTCCACAGTGTGTTTCACGACAAATGCTACTACCAACAGTGTTTGTGATACCTATTGTTAAAGCTCCTCGTGGCTTACAATACCTGTAGAATTTATAATTTATTTCAAAACACAATTGCTGTTGACAACTCCAACAATTATTTGCTCAAATAACTCCATCTAATTTTAGCATTAGAAACTAGCCTTAAAGCATTTAACGTATCTGCTGTTTCTCCACTCTGTGATATGAAGAAACAAACATCATCACGAAAAATAGGTGTTTCGCGATCCAAGAAATCACTCGCTCGCTCCAGTATCACTGGTAATTCCGTTAGTTCTTCCATAATTTGTCGACACTTAAATTTTTTCCTAACTTCATGTATCCAACACAGAGATGAAAATGTAGTAATCAATTTATAAATGTGTTAAAAAACGATAGTTACCGCAAGAGCTGAGTGATATGAAGTACCACAAGCTACTAAGATCAGTCGTCTACATCGCTTGATGTCTAGTAGGTAGTCCTGAAATATTGTATTTAACTGAATATCAGAAAGTTATGGACGATCACGCATAGACGCTACTAATTATAAAAAAATAATGCTTTAAATTACTTATGCATTAACTTTCAAAGTGGAATTGAATGATGCCAACAGTACTGCGAAACACATAATATGATGAAGAAAAAACAAACCTTAATGCCGCCAAGAACAACAGTACCGTCATCAAGTATGCGACCTCTCATTGTGTTCACGATTGAATCTGGCTGTTCATATATTTCCTTCTGCATGAACGTTTTAAAATTACCCATCATAATTTGCTGCAGTTCTAATGTCAAATTTTGAACTTCTCGTGTTTGAGGAATTTCATCGCCACGCTTAATGCGATGTATTGATAGTGCTAAAATACGATATTATATTCCTGCATGGAAAAAAAAAAACAACCCAAAAATTTTTGCACAAATAGTTAGCAGCTAACATTTATATAGAAAGTGTTTCTTTATGGTCTTGAATCTACTGAAAATATATAAAGACATATAAAAACTCACAACCATTCTCGATCACAGCAACATCATCATCTTCAAGAAAGATGACCTGTTTTGTATGCTCAATAATTGCACTAAAAATGAAAAAATAGTTATAAGCACAGAATTACTTTATCTCTGAATAATGTAATACTTCAAAATTCAAGACGAAACAGAAAACGCAATCGAATCACAACAATATGCCAATTCTGATACTGAATCTTGTCAAAAAAGTTAATTATTTCTAGAACGTTACCTTGCATCAGATGCTACAAAATATTCCGCTTCTTTGTAGTCAAAAATCTGGAATTCTGCTTCATCGGATACTAGAAAAGTAAACTTTTCAAAGTCTTAATGAACTAACTTCATTATCCTTCTTCAGATAGTTTACAGCAATAACTAACCATCCCCTCCTTTGATAGGTGTGCTTGTTTTGAATCCAATTTCACTACCTATTACAGGTTCCATAAACGATTCATTAGCATATTCAGACGATATAAAGCGTCGAGCTAAAATAAATAAATGTTACAAGGATTCTTGAAGTGTTAGTCAACTACTTTAGGCTTGTTAAAAAGTAATGACTGCAAAAAACAGTACTACTATCACTAATGTCTTCCAGACCAATGAACGATTTTTAAAAGTATACCATTGTGCGCAAAAATATATACCTTTACTAAAAAAAACAGGAAAATGATTTGTAGAAAGCCTTCCTATAGTTTTGATTCCAATCAGAAGAGGGCTGCCACGTCTTGTTGCGACTAGCTGCCCAGGAAAACGGTTGCTTTTAAAAGCAAGCGCAAATGCACCCTCCTGCAATGCAGAAAATTTGTTCGTCTGCAGTTATCAAGTTAATACATATTTTCATAATATGATTACATAGTTTTATATTAAAACAAATGAAAAATGAGTCTACTTTAAAGTAACATCTAACAAAGAAATAAACAAATTTGTAGCCCCTGATAATATTCATGCGTAACAGTTTAATATATTATTAACCAGATGTTGAATAGTAGCCTCAACCAGTTGATGAAATCTTGCACCTTCACATTTGTTTGCGATATGTTGAATCAATTTTACAATTACTTCAGTATCAGTTTCTGATTCGAATTCATAGCCTTTTTTTATCAAATATTCTTTGAGTTCACGATAGTTTGTTATGATACCGTTGTGCACAACCAAGAATTCTTTAATATCACCAAAAATTATAACTATTTACAATTCATAAAGTGAAGTTCATAATCTGATTGTTAGTTAACTATTTAAGGCTTGTTGAAAAGCAATGACTGTAAAAAACAGTACTACTATCACTGTCTTTCAGACTAACGAACGATTTTTAAAAGTATACCATTCTGCGCAAAAATATATACCTTTACTTAAAAAAACAGGAAAATTATTTGTAGAAAGCCTTCCTATAGTTTTGATTTCAATCAGAAGAGGGCTGCCGCATGATTACTGATGATTTCTCAATAAATATAACGCAAAGAATACCATTTTTCATATTTGATCTTTGAGGATGCGAGTTAACATCTTTGGGTGAACCATGCGTTGCCCATCTTGTGTGCGCGATACCACAATGAGTTTTGTAAACCACATCATCATTGCAAAACTGGCGCTCTAAATAAAGATTTTACAAAGATCTATATGACTTATTTTTATCGGCTGCAATTTTGGTACCTAAAGAAAAATATTATTAAACGACACACCTTTAATATAGTTTTCAAGCACATTGACTTTACCAACTTTTTTGAGAAGCATTATTTTCGAACCAATTTTCACACTGTCCGCTTCACTATCTATAGCGAGGCCTATAAACTATTAGCAAATGATACATTCACTATAAACATCGATGAATTACAGAAGCCCAATTGCTGCAGACTTATTCCTCGCATTTCACTAATCCACGCTGTCAAATATTTTTATGAAGTTATGTTTGTAAATTAGATGATAAACTCAAGACATTCCAGTTCTCTACCACTCACGCTCATGAGATATATGTCAAAATTGTGATTCCTTTCATATTACATATAACTATTTTAGCAAAAAGCAAGGTGTCAAAATTACAGAAAGATATATAAAATGATAATGTCTTTACCCGCAGAATCATAGCCACGGTATTCCATTCTTTGCAAGCCTCTTAGTAATATATTAATTACTTCGGTGCGACTTCTCGGCGTCAAAAAGTTTACATAGGCAAAAATTCCACACATTCTGAAATTTGATTGACATATTTGTGTCGCAACTAGAAAATTTATTTGCACATTACTTGCAATCAGTAGTTAACCCTCACAAAGCTCCAGATGAAGTCAAGCGCACAAGCGGCATATGCCTCGCATTGCACAATTCTACGCTGTCAAATATTTTTATGAAGTTATTTTCGTAAATCAGATGATAAATTCAAGATATTCTACTTCTCTACCACTCACGCTCATGAACTGAGTGTCAGAATTCTGATTCCTTTCACATGAAATATAATTATTGTTCCAAAAACCACACTATTGGGCAGAACCAAACTATACCAATACATATACTGCCGCGATATATACATATTATATATGCTTCCGTAATTTCGGCAATAATTATAATTAATATGATATATGGAAACCAATTATACTACGTGGTATCACACTGAAAAAGCGCTCGATTCAATTAGTCACAGCTACCTGGTTAAGTGTACTCAAAGGCTCAACATGCGAGTATACATCGGCAGGTTTCTGAGAAGCATCACCTCCAGATGGCCGGTTACATTGAAAAGCAATGGAAAAACCATAATAGAAAAAAAATACA